TTAAGTCGACTCGATTTAAATCGGGGTTTAAACCGGCTCGATTTAAATCGGGGTTTAAACCGGCTCGATTTAAATCGGGGTTTAAATCGACTCGATTTAAATCGGGGTTTAAATCGACTCGATTTAAATCGGGGTTTAAATCGACTCGATTTAAATCGGGGTTTAAGTCGACTCGATTTAAATCGGGGTTTAAACCGACTCGATTTAAATCGGGGTTTAAGCCGACTCGATTTAAATCGGGGTTTAAATCGACTCGATTTAAATCAACTCCACCTTGCCCAACACACACACACACGCAGAGAAAACCAAAGGATACAGTGAGGGAAAAAATGAAGAGGGCAGACCCCAAAAGACCCCCTTGGATGGTCAGCCATTCGCTGGACGCCAGTTGGCGGCTGTACATCTGCATCCCGGTGAAGAGCAGCAGGGATAACAGGGAGGAAAGGACCAGCGATATTCCCGTGCTGACCGCTAGAAAGACAAAACGAGAGGGTCAAAGCCGGCGGGACAATTCGGTCATCGGCGCTGGGAAGGGTCCAAAAAAAAGGTTAGCTTTTGGGGGGGGGGATCCAGGCAGCTGCATAGCCCATGCTAAGCCCTTCTTTGCCACCTTCTTGGAGGGGTCTGGAGGGAACCCCGGCCAATGATGGTTTGTTTGAGGAATGCATGCTGGCTTATCCAGGGTTGGAAGGCAGAAGGAGAGGAGGGCCGGGTGTCTTCCCGTCCTGGGATCAGGCTGGTGTGGGGGCAGCTTCGCGCGAACGTCCAGGCCAGACGGGACTCTAGAGAAGCTGCCCCCCTTGAGGAGTTTGACAAAATAAAAAAAAGACGGGATATAAAATAAATGAAATTTAGCAATTTGGGCGTAAAATTAGCTTTGTTTGACATTGTCCACCAAAAAGAGGCTGGAATTTAGAGCAGAAAACTTGCAAAATATTAAAAGGATATGTTTAAATGTTAAATTTTCTAGTCTACCCATAATTCCCACTGCCCATGTTTCTTTACCCATAATTCCCTCCTACCACAATGCTGCTCTACCCATAATTCCCTCCCATCCACAATACTCCTCAACCAATAATTCCCTCCATCCATAACGCTCCTCTACCCATAATTCCCTCCATGCACAATGCTCCTTTGCCTTTAATTCCCTCCACCCAATCTTTTTACCCATAACTCCCTTCGTCCACAATGTCTCTTTACCCATAATTCCCTCCATCCACAATACTCCTCTACCCATAATTCCCTCCATCCACAATGTTCCTCTACCCATAATTTCCTCCATCCACAATGCCCCTCTACCCATAATTCCCTCTATCCACAATATCCCTCTACCCATAATTCCCTCCATCCACAATGTCCCTCTACCCATAATCCCCTCCATCCCCAATGCCCCTCTACCCATAATCCCCTCCACCCCCAATATCTTTTTACCCATAATCCCCTCCATCCACAATTTTCCTTTACCCACAATCCCATCCATCCCCAATGCCCCTTTACCCATAGTCCCCTCCATCCCCAATGCCTCTTTACCCATAGTCCCCTCCCTCCAATGCTCCTTTACCCATGATTCCCGCCATCTGCAATACCCCTCTACCCATAATCCCCCTCCATCCCCAATGCCCCTTAGGTATGAGAGCAAACACAGTGGCACAAGTAGCTGTCTTTGCCCAGGGAAGCTGTGCTGTTTGGGGATGATGGGGGTTGTAGTCCAAGACAGCTGGAAGGCAGCATTTGGGGGGGATTCTGGGTAATGCCATGCCCTCTTTCATTTGCCTTGCCTTGCCTTGCCCACCCCTGCCACATTACCCAGGATGCACTTCGATTACTTAATCTGATGCCCATCTCCCCCTTCCCAGGGACCACGTTACCCATAGTGCCCCGCGCGACGACCCCCGGCTCCGTCCGCCGAGCCAACGATCCCTCCTCGGTTTGAACCAGAGCGTCTGTCTGCCTCGCGCATGCGCCGCCGGGAAGAGCCTCTTTTTCTCCCCTCCCCTCCAACCACGCTGGAGCTTCTTTACGCGCACGCGCGGGTCCCGCCCCGGCTGGCTGAGCGCGGACGTGTACTTTTTCCTCGCGCGCCTGCGCACGATTATAGGAGGCCTTTAAGCGACTTGGTGCATGCGCGGTGATGATAGGCGGGAGTGCCTTTTTTTCACCGTCTGGCCGCTAGGGGGCCACGGCCTCTCCCCCTTCCCCGAAGGCGTCGAACAAAGCGAGGCGCGCCGCGCCTTCGCGGGTTCGAGACTCGCCTCCCCGATTTTGCAAAATTGGGGGTGGTGTGGGAATGTTTAAAAGAATGCATAAGAATAAAATTCACACGAGCTGTTTTTTGCAATGATTGGCGAGCCCGCCTTCCCACCTCTGCCCTGCAAGAAGCGGAGAGGCACTCTGCGTAGGCTCAGAGGCGCCTCTCCTCTCTTGTTGCATGCCCAGCTGGGGCAAAGGCAGCCCCTGACCTTGTGCAGAGGGCTCCCCCACTAATGCACCACTCCAATGGGGGGCGCCCCTATCCCTTTTCCACTTGCAAATTCTTTTGGCTCATCTAGCAAAGGATGCAAAGGATTTCCAACACCCCCACTCCTTAAAATGGGGGGGGTGTGTGAATGAGCCACTCTTGGGTTGAGCTTCCCCCGAGCATGCGCACTCCCCCTTCCTCCCCCCCACCCCACCCCTCCCTACAGATCCAACCCCAGCTGCAATAGACCGAGCCGTTCGCCGGCGCCGCCGCTGCAGGCGCGGCGCTGGCTGGCTGGCTGGGGGCTGGCTGGGGGGGGGTCCCCGCTGGGAGCATCCCCGCCCCGTTTCACCGGGAGACATGGCCGAGGGCGACGATCTCCACTCGTTCACCTCCATCATGGACGCCTTAGTCCGGATCAGCGTGAGAACCCAACCTTTTATTTGGGGAGGGGTCGGATGGGTGGATGGAGAGAAGGATGGATGGATGGATGGATGGAGGGTGGGGGGCTTGCACAAAAAACGGGACTGCTGCAACCAAGCAGGATGGGGGGGTGCCCCCTTCTGTGCATATAGGGGATAAAGTTAGAAAGGGGGGGGCTCTGGGGTCCCTATGTCGTGGGGTGGGGGGGAGAGAGAGAGAGATGCGACCAGGAGAGGGGGGAAAAAAACCCCTCCGCTATTGTCTCCCACCTGGAAAGAAAGATGCTTCTTCCCTTTTAAAACAATTTTAAAAAATGCCCCCCCCCAGGTGGGTGTTGGCTGCCCCCCCCAACTGTTGGCAACCTGATTCCGCCCCCCCCCCCGGCAATTTCCCCCCCCCCCTGGGCGCTTTTCTTCTATTCTCCCTCGNAGAGAAGCAACTTAGAACTGAGGAGAAATTTCCTGACAATTACAACAATGAATCAGTGGAACCGAATTTGCCTCCAGAAGCTGTGAATGCCCCAACCCTGGAAGTCTTTAAGAAGATGTTGGATAGCCATTTGTCTGGAATGGTATAGGGTTTCCTGCCCGAGCAGGGGGTTGGACTAGAAGACCTCCAGGGTCCCTTCCAACTCTGCTATTGTATTGTATCGTATTGTAAATAAAAACTACTACTTTTGATTCCAAAGTCTGAGTCCCTTAATTTTCTGCAACATCTGTGTCCCGGGGTCATATGATCCCCTTTTGCGACCTTAAAATGAAGGCGGAAGCCGGATTCACTTAATGACCATAGGAAACACTTAAAAACATGATATTTTTTTAGACACAAATGGCCACGTTTTTCTATTCCTCGATGCTGTTTTTTCGTCTTTGCAACTATGGAAAGGAAAGGTCGTACAATGGGGCAAAACGTACTTACTTAAAAACTGTCTTGCTTAGCAATGGAAATTTTGGATTCAGTTGAGGTCATAGCTGAAGGACTAGTTGTATTCTGGACAATTTTGGGGGACTGTATTTTGGCTTCAAGGCTCTCTTTGATTACTTTTTTCTGACAGTCATAAAATACCAGAATAACAGAGTTGGAAGGGTCCTTGGAGGTCTTCTAGTCCAACCCCGTGCTCAGGCAAGAAACCCCTTCAGACAAATGGTTGTCCAATCTCTTCTTAAAAACCTCCAGTGATGGAGCAAATCTGGTTGAGAAGAGGGAATTTTGGCACAAGCAGCTTTTCTGCTGGGAGGACTGCCATGACGAGAGAACTGGAGCCAGAAAAATATTCGTTTTTCCGCCCTGCTTCAAAAGGCATTAGACAGATGCTGCTGTGCTTAAAAAAATATTATCAAAAGAGCTGCTTTGCCAGCAGCAGCTGAAACGAAACTGAGTTGGAAATTCATTTAAAAAACCAAGATCAGGGTGAAATTCACCAAATGCTGCAAATCAGTTCTTCAAACTGGGCAACTTGGAAGATGGGTGGACTTCAACTCCCAGAATTCCTCAGCCAGCAGGCTTTAAGATGGGTGGACTTCAACTCCCAGAATTCTCCAGCCAGCATGTTTTAAGATGGGAGGACTTCAACTCCCAGAATTCTCCAGCTGATATGCTTTAAGATGGGTGGACTTCAACTCCCAGAATTCCCCAGCTGATATGCTTTAAGATGGGAGGACTTCAA